CGCAACAACAACAAATACCGCAACAACAGATACAGCAACATCAAATACAACAACAACAAATACAGCACCAACAAATACAACAACAACAAATACAGCAACAACAACATATACTGCAACAACAAATATCACAACAACAAAGTTCTAAACAAATGGTTGAGGATCGAGTGCCTCCTATACATCATCATACTCCCCAAGTTTCCAGAGTAGAAGAAAAAAGTCGAAAGCCACTTAAACAATATACTAAAACTGTTAGTTTTGGTAGAAAATCAAAGTCTCCATCTGAAGAGGACAGTTACCCATCATTTTTAGATGATCCAAGTGGCTATTTAGCACAACAGACAGCTTTACTGAATAATACAATAAGTACCAATTCATTTTCACCATTATCTCCTCCTGCAAGACCATACAGACAAGAAAAATCGAGATACACAACAAATGTTACAACAATGGCTAGTGGTCGAACAGCTAGTTCAAACACTATAACTTCAGTGCTGGCTGGTAGAGCTAATACATCTGTGGTAACAGTGAACACATCTGAAGACCAAGTATTACCACCTAGTCAACCACAACCAGTCACATCCAAAACACCTTTAGAAATGGTACAAAGTGTTGTAAGTAGCATACAAGTACCTACATCTTCAGAAAAATCAAATATTCAACCAAGTCATATATTATTGACAAGTAATGGACAATTTATAATGGCGTCAACTAAAATACAATCACCTAATACATCACAAGTTCTTTCAACAGTGCAACAACAACCTACTGTCCTTGTAAATACATTACAGGGAGGTCAAAGTACTTTACTACTTCAGCCAGGAAATGTTATGACTGTTGATCAAGTGCAGGTACCGCAACTTGCTGTTGCTACAGGAAATATGGATAATAGTGGTGCATTTTCACCAAGAGGTTCAAATCTATTGTCTCCGCCAGATTCCAAACGCAAGACTATTAATTCTAAAAAACGAAAATCACCCCAAATATCCCCTAATCATCAGAATAATTCTAGTGTATTATTACAACCGCAACCGCAAAACTATAATCAGCCTGTTGTTCAAACATTAATACTACCAAATAAAACCACCCAATATGGCAACCAACAACTGATAACAAATATGATACAACCTGTTAGTCTTGTTCATAATCTTCCTGCTATCCAACAATTCATTGTACCAGCAAATTTAGGTGGTGTAGTTATGGCCGACAATTCTATACTACAAGACGCAGTACAATTAAATGTTATATCCCCATTTTCTAATACTGGTCAAAATTTATTACCCACTGGAATGGTTTTAAGGACCCCTCAAACACAACAAAGACCACAACAAAGTAATCAATTTATCGTAAATAGTGTTGGCCAATTGAGCCCTATTTTAGCCAGCTTGAGCCCTAATCAATCGCAAAACCAAAACAGAAATCAGCAGCAAAATGATTACATACATGTAGTACCATGTTCTATTCAACAAAATCAAGAAAATACCACTGTAGTTCAACAAAACACAACTATTGTTCAACAGCAAATGACCATGGTGTCGGGACAACAAGGCAACGAGCAAGGAAATTTAATTATAAATGAAAAACAAGGTCAAAATTATATTATTGCCGATAATAAACAACAAGGGTTTATACTTAGTCCTAAAGATAAACAACAGTCAGGTGGCACCCATTTTATTTTAAATAATATGAATTCCGAGAAGCAAACCCAAAGTTTTATAATTACCAGTCCAACTTCTGGCGATAAACAGCTTTGTGGAAACTTCATTCTTGAAAAAACCAATTCATCAGGGAATTTTATTATTACTACAACAAATTCTGATAAAAATTCAAAATTTGCTAAACACTCAGTGTCCACGCAAACTGCTGCTGGACAACAAGTGTTACAGATTTCATCTACACCTGCCCTAATTGTTGCTACAAACCGTAATGCCTATGTAGGTAGTCCACCTGATACAACAACTTTAAGTCCTGTGAGTGGACAAAGTCCTTCAGCTAAACCAGAAATGCCGTCAAGTTCTGTAACAGCTGATTTGGACGCTGCATTATCACCGTCGTCGACATTATCTGATATGCAAAATAGGCAACCAATGGTTCATTGTATTTCAAGTAGTAATGTGGTGGATTGGTCTGATAATTCAGCAGATGAAAGAAAGACTATATCCAATGCTTCTGATTCACCAAACATGTACTCCATTGAACATTCATTTCCTAGATGTAAGTAATTCAACAACATTTTGATCATAAAATGGTTGATTTCTTTAACAAAAAATGTATTTTTAGGATACAATATCATAAGCAAATATTTGGTACAAGGAAATCCAACCACAAGGTAATGATGCACATCTTTGCCATCAAAACAAGTTCCTATTAAAAAAAATTAAAAAAAATAACAATATTGTGTTGTTTATGAGAAACTACATGTATAATTTTAAAAGCTGTATAGTATTTCCTAAATAAGTTAGGTTATTATGTATTATTACAATGTAATAGTTCCTCTGGTCGAGGCATATTTTATAAATATTATTTTGTGTATGTTAATACTTATGTTAAAAAAAAATTAATAATCGTTAAACCGAAGTTCTTGAGAATATATTCTATTTAATTAAACAATTAGCCTTTTTGAATATATTTTTCTGTTTCCTTCTTTCGTAAATTTCCTAAATTATTACCTCAAGTATAATAGAACAGCTTATAACTAAGTGTTAATACTTAATAATAAATAAAATTTGAATTAGTTATTACATTTAATTATTTTTTATTTAATACATTTAAAATATTATTCTTTAAATTAAAAGTCAAAAAAATTAGTTATTTATTTTATGTTTAATGAATTAAGTTTAGATAATATCTTGAATACCAAAATATTTATTTTATCAACTGGGTAGGTACTAAAATTTTCAGAAATCACTAATAAATTTAACAAATTTGTATTTACTAAAAGAAACGATTGAATTGATTGACTATTATATTTTTAAGTACTTCAAATATTCAATACTCTTTTTCCAAAAACCAAAGGAAAAATTAAAATTTTTAAGAACTTCAGCTGCTAATGATTTATAATTTTTTTTATGTGAAATACTTTTATTCTCTGTACTTACAGTTTTAAGATCAAGTAACAGAAATCATTTTTTTCCTTGGCTTACGGCAATGTAATATTTATAAATTATTATTATTTTCTGCTTGTATAATAAATCACCAATCATTGTCTAATTGAAACATTGACATTGAACAATTACAAATAACATATATTGTTTAAAATGCAACCCATATTTATTTTCTGGTCTAGTTATGTCAAATTTTTATTTCTTATCTAATTTATTAGATTACTTGTGTTTAACTGTTACTTGTCTAACTTCGGGTTGCGTGAACAATAACTAAACATTTAATGAACCAATAGGTAGCTAATGACTTCTTAAACATGATTTAGTGACCCATGATTGGTCTCTTAAATTTTATTGAACCATTAAATGAATACATTTTTCATGCAACCTGTCAAAATCATTGTAAATATACATACATATATAAATATATATATATACATTTATATTATATATTTAATATGTACGTATATGCATATAATATTAAATTAACATCATAGATATTTTATGAAAAACTTTTAATGATATTTGAAATTGCATTTTTGACATTTTACGTATTATTTTGAGATTTGAAATTGTATTAATTTTTTCACTCATTACAAAATTATTTTTTAAATGCATACCATTGGTTTTTGTAAAATTTAAAAAACTGGGAAAAAATGACTTGTTGCAATATGATGTATGATACGTCGTTTTGTTTTCAAAGTTATTTTAAAATATCAACCGCTGAAATATTTTTTTTAAATAGAGAAGCAAATAGTGATATACCTGTATAAATATTATATTATATGTAACATATTATGTATATAATCAAAATATTCAATTGTATTATCAAATACAATTTAGACTGTATATTTTATATTTTTAAAGCTAATAAGATGTTACTTGTTAGAACATTACTATTGTGTATTAAAATTAAGAAAATCATTTATTTATTAATTATTATTGACAAATTAATCGAAAACTGTGATTTTATGTTTCGTTTTAAAATTATTTTTCTTATGAAAGTCTTTTTGTATATTACTGTTTTATTATTATTAATTTTTCTTTTTTTGTTGCACGTTTAAATTTTTTAAGTTTATTTATTACTTTATTTTTAAAAAAAACTTGCCCCTTCTATGAATGAATGTTTTAATTATGATATTATGACTACACATATTTAATAGTTTTGCTTAATTTATTTTATTCTCATCATCTTTAACTGACGATACCTATTCTCTTACTCTTACCAAAATATTAACTATAGTTGTCTATATTAAAATAAGAATCGTTAAAAGTTATTGTTGAAGAAATAAGTTGTACAGTTTTATATTATTATATTTAAAAAGAAATGAATAATGATGGACAAAAACTCAATAATGTTCTGGATTTTTTTTATACTCAGTCCGCATCCATTTCACATAGTCCATAGTTGGAATACATCATAATATTATCATAGGCTTTACAAATATAATATGTACTGAATAAATCCAAATTAAAAAGTACATGCTAAAAAATATTTAAACTATGTGTATTTGAATAAATGAAGTGTACTGTTATTTTTTAATTATATATAATATGTTGTTTTAACACTATAAAACTAGTTTTGACAATATTGCTTCTGTGTATTGTGTATAAAAAATATTTCTTAATTTCTGTAATACCTACTTCCTATATATTCTTTCATTCAATAATTTGTTAAACAACAATGTTTATGTTTATAGTCGGTCTCACGAAAAAAAAAGGTACTGTTTTCCACATGAGCTCCATAACACTGTCAAATCCACTCCATCTATGTATATAAACAAGCATGTGTTTACTCACAAATCCACCGCTGCTCGTCATGAGCAGCTACTTCATGAGTACCAAGTAGTAGGGATGACGAGGTGATGTGAGGTGTATGGGAATGCGCAAGAATATACAAGATTTTGTAGACGCAATACCTTTCTCTCGTGAGAGAATATATTTAAGCTTACTGTAAATTGATTAGGCCCGATCGGTACTAATTTGAACTACAAACTTATTTTCAATACTTAAAGAATACGTAATTTTATTCATCTAATTGAAGAACACATAATTGCTTTATACATTTTTATTTTTAAACCATAACAGCAAGATCTTATTGAAAAGGAAAAATAAAATAAAAGTATATTATCAGCTAAAATGTTGGTGAAATATTAAATAGTTTACTTCTATGGTAAGAATAAAAAAAAATGTTATGAAGATTGACCAGTTAGTAAATTAATGAGTGCAGCCTTTTCTTTTTCCTTCTTTTTAGTTACCTCCAAACTTCTATTTTTCCACATACTCTTCCGCAGTTTTATTGGCCTACTGCCCACATATCGACCTAATAAATAAAAAAATTTATTACAGAAGTATTTAAAAATGTTCAGTAAAAAAAGGGAAAAAAGAAATACCATTGAGTTCTTTTGTAGCCCTAATAAAGTCTGCTGGGTCTTTGAATGATACAAATCCAAAACCTCGGGTTTTCATTGTTCGCCGATCACGTACTACACGCGCTTTTTGGAATGAAGGATATCGACTAAACGTTCGAGCTAATAATTCATCAGTGACATCATTTCCTAAATCTCCACAAAATAATCGAAAATCATCTGAAAACATAATTCAAATTTGGGTTACCTACTATAATATATATTATGTTTAACTAGTACCATACCAAAATTAAATACTTTTTTTTGAAAATGAATAAAATTTATTGCTACAGTCTATCAATATTTTAAACAAAATGCATACCTTCATCCCATTCAGATAGTGTTTGATCTTCCCATACCTGTCCTCCAGAAGTTCGTATAAACTTCTTATTTTTTTTTCCTTTGCTCTTGGCAGATTGATTTGGGATTGAGGCAGCACATTCAGCTGCGGCAACAGCATTACCTCCAGCCGACACAACAACTGTTTTAGATGTTGCTTTAACAGCCTCTGCCATTTCTTTACCAGGCAATATTGAGGGTTGTGACTTCTTAGATTCTTTTTTTAACGGATTGATACTTGTTGTCATTTTTAATATGTCTTCTGCTTTAATCATCAAATCATTTGAAGGAAGTTGAGGTGGTTCAGGTTTAGATGTATACAATTTAGGAGCACCACTAAAACATATAGTTAAGTTTTAAAAATATATGCATCTGTATATCATATTGATAGAAATTCAAATGTAAAAAGGATTTTACTATTGCTATTCTTTAGTGTTTTTTACTTTTTTTTTTTGTGCACTACTTTTATACATTTTTTAAAAATTGTTCCAATTGAAAATTAGTAGTTTATAGTTAGTACTAATTTAACATTTGGTCACTGGACGAGATTTAACTATGAGAGTGAATCATGAATTAAAACCAAAAATTTCACTATTAAACTCATCATTATTATAATATAAAATAAATAAATATTATAGTTTTTATAAGTTGAAAGTAGCAACACAATAATTATAATTTTCACTATGCCAACTGAAAATTTCTACCGGGGTAAAGTATTTCACTACTTTAGTTATATTATAGCGACGCTACGTTAATCCTACTCCCGACCACTGCTATTCTCCTTTAATTACAAACACAATAGTGTTGTATAATATTAATCATAATGTTTTTTTTTTTATAAATAATACTATTTAATCTTAAGTTGATAATATTGTAAACAAACATTTTATTTTACAGCCTAATGGCTATAATGCAATCAGACAAGGAATAAATAACAAATATGTATATTGTCAATACTCAATAGTACAGCATAAACTTCACTGATGGATATTTATTAAGTAAAGTATTATAAAGTAAATTTATAAAAATATTAAATAGCAATTAAGTATTTATAAAAGTTAATATTACTATTACAGTATTACCCTATTCTTTAGTTGCATACTTGCATGACATTAAGTTAAAACCGTTAACTAATGATTTATAGAAACTGAAAAGAAATAATCAATATATACCTGAGAATAACAGGACCAATTGTTTTGTCTACTTTAACATTAAATCTCCGTTGAGGTTGCTGTAATAGCATTTGGTTGTTAGAGAACGACGGTCGCATATTATTATATCCTTGAGAAGCAATAGTATTTTGTTGTCCCATCATTGAATAATTATCTAAACAAAATTTATAATATAAATATATTAGTATGTAGTTAAATAAGTTATTACTAATACAAATAACAAATGAAATAACAATAAATCAAATTAGGACAATCATTATTCATTTTATTATTTTGAGCTGTTTTGACTAGGGCCCAGAACTAGATGACTTGAAAGCATTTTAAAAATACACTTAAAATAACAGGGCATAGGCTACAAGTCTGAAATGTAGAAAAATAACATAATTAGTGATGTTTACAACTTTACAAGTGTTACATAATTGTATTTTAATTATGTTATCCAAATAGTTTAATACTATAAAGTACTCAATGACGGACTTCACTTGAAACCTTCTATACAGCAAACACGTCAGATAACTTCCCTTTTTTGCTCCTTTTTAATTCTTATTAATTTTGCATTATTTTAATTAGTACTATGTCAAATTTTTTTTATACAGTCAAACTTGGTGAACTCGACATCTTCATTACCTCAAACTTTTTCCCGGCCCCTAGAATTTCCTACTATTTTATCCTTGGATAATCCAAATTTTTTGACTTCTCTAATTTCAAGTCAACTAAATCAACTGTATAATAATTAATGATTTAAAATGCGTAAAATGCATTTTTACGGTGGACCCATGAAGAATAATATAGAGTATTTTATTTTATGAATTTTAGAAATTCTCAGGTTAGATACAATGAAACTATCAATAAGACAATACTGAAAATAATTGTATACCCTTTTACAATAATCAAAAAAAAATTTATTTATATAGTTTGTGTACACTACAAAACTATCAACATGAGACAACAATAAGAGAAGGCTAATGGTATTTATCTTAGCCTGGGACATTAAGAAAAATATTGGAAAATTTATAAAATCACCAAAATGTAAATATAACACCATTGTAGTTAGACATAGTAGTATAATCATACAATCATACTACTAATCCAATTACTATGCATTGTATTAAATTAAAAGATAAAAACAATGCAAATGTATCAGATTCCAGGCCCTAGATAAGAATATATTATATGAATCATAATTTTGATAAATATTTACAAGAGTTAAGCTGCTATCCTATGACTCTTATATTAATTATGTAATGAATAACTGAAAACTGCTATAAATTTTTTGAAAAATATTTTAACTTAAAATTATTTAAATGATTTAAAATCATTTAAATCATCATTATTTAAAAAAAAAAAGACAATCATTTAAAAACAATGATTATATATTTACATATGATATAGGACAAGTAATTTGTATAAGTAAATATTTCAATTAAAATACAAGTTGATGACTAGAGTCGAGCACCTTTGTTTCTAGTTGAATACAAAACTTACAAAACTTGATTTCTCTTCCTTATTACGTCACAGATATTTCCAGAATTGTCAATAGGTATTAATCGGAAATTGGAATAGGTTTTTCTATAACTTAATAATATATTTTAAAAGTAATTTTTTCAAAAATATTGTATCGAATATAAACTTTAAGGCAAGATGTTTATATATTATATTAATTTATAATTACCAGAATTACTGTATGATTGAGCACCAGGTGTTCCATCCATATAATTGGGTATCCCAATTTCTTCTTCAAACCTAAAACAAAGATTAGACCATGAAAAAAAAAATATATCTACAACATTGTAAAATGTTTTCAATTACTTGTTCATTTCGTCTTCCATCATACGAAGTTTGTCAAAAGCGTCAGCCATATTTGATGACAAAATTAGATATTTTAAATTTTAATACAAAAAGTAATCAGGTTGAAAAAGGACGGAGAGAAGTAACAAATAAATAATAGTGAAATATCTTTAATAAGTAAACACTAAACAAAATTTTATAGATTTGGGTAATGGGAATAGAATTATAGAAATGTATAGTGTTCAATTGTTGAATAAGCAAAAGTCAATAATTATTAATGGTGAATTATAGCATTGATGTTGTTTTATGGAGATAACGTGATAACGAGTGAATGAGTGATGTTATCATTGTTTTATTATTGTTATGATAATCTAAGACAGTCGTGGTTGAGATGGTCGAGACAAGGTATTTTTTCTGGCTACACTGATCGAACATTTTAGGTTACATCAAGGATTCAAATCAAAAAACAAAAAAAAAATTGATTACAAGCGCTTTTTGTGTGTAAGAGATAAACGAGTTACGTTTGGATTATTGACTTTTGTAACATACATATATGAAAATATAAAATTTATATTTCAGTTGTTGCGCACGGTTTCCTTTATTGTTTTTTTTTATAATTGCCCAAGTCAAATAGCACAATGAGCGAGTCAGAGCAGAGTAACAAGGTCAACGAATTTGCTGGCATAACTAATGTAGATTCAGAAAGAGCTAAATTTTATTTAGAATCGGCCGCCTGGAGTATGGATGTAAAGAGAAAATAACTTAAATTGTGCCTCGTGATGGTGCATTTAATATTTATTTTTTTATTATGTATTTTTAGGCTGCATTGGCGAGCTTTTATGACGAAGGTACTGATGATGAACCTCTGAGCGATAATGCTGGACAGTCTTCATCGAGGCCGGCAGCTGCTTCAAATAGGGATGTGCCAATGGCTAGCATATCGAATTATAAACCAGTACCAAAACCGAAAAAATGGCAACCACAATCTAGGTAATTAAACTTCATTCTTTTGAATATAATGTTAAACATATAACTAATTTAGGAATACTGTAACAAACTTCTATTCTTACCTTCGTTCATAAACAATGAATGGAACCACCTCTCAATATTTTGATGTACACATTAGTGACAAGTTGCCAATTATGTGTAAATATACTATGTATGAGCAAAAGGCTCGTCACATATTTTTCTTAAAGATATGATAAATATGAACATAATAACCCAGAATTAATGAACTTGAATTTATTGAATTGGTAAGCAGTTTAAATCTGTATGATAGATTATTGATAAAAAAATATGAATAATTGGTCAAGATAAATATAATTGCTAGCTCATGCTCAGAAGAGGTATAACTGGCCACTCATCGCTAACATGTACATCAATGACATTATGTGTAATCTATAGGCCATGGCTCTATCCATTGTATATTATGATCTAAGATTCTTTCACTACATGATCTTTATATGTTTTTAGAATTATGACGTTCAGTAGTTTGAAGAATGCTGAAGTTGAAGATAAAGACAGTGATGATGAAGAAGGTCAGAGGTTCTATGCTGGCGGATCAATCACGAGTGGTCAACAAGTAATTGGGCCTCCGCGCAACAATGCTGATGTTATCACTGATATGTTTCAAACGGCGCAGAAGTAAAAAAATGATCATACATAAGTTTGAGATTTTGCTATATATAAAAATTAACTATATAAATATTAAATCTAGGTATGCTAGTACTTCAGCACCAAGTGGTAGCAGTAGTTCTACGCATGACAGTGGTGCATCAAATTTCTTTGGTACAGGTTATAAATTAGGCCAAACTGAAAATGATACTGAAGGTTTGATGAATACAATTCGGTTGACTCACCTTTAAATTAATGTTTCATTATAAAAATTTTAATTTTAGTTATTCCATCTCATAATTCTACTACAAAACGTTCATCCAATCAAGAAGAAGTTGTCTTAAAAGTATGGAAAGAAGGATTCACTATCAATGATGGTGAATTGCACAGCATTGATCGGCCAGAAAATAGAGAATTCCTACTTCTAGTAGCTAGAGGGTTAGTAATTTAATGTTAAAAACATTTAACCCAAGCAATTTAGTGTCTCTTGTCTATTGTTTTGATATGTTTTTTCAGTTTCTGATGATACTAACACCCTCTGTTATCTTAACTACCTAATTTGAAAATTAGGGTGTTGAGGCAGTTTTTGATCATACTATTATAATCTATTACTATCAATGTTTGATTTCATACTTCATTAGTTTTAATATTTTGTACAAATAATTTATTCATTATTAATTGTTTTCTGTTATTTTAGAGAAGAGATTCCACCATTACTTTTGAAAGAGGCAAATGTATCTAGTGAAGATGAACTTCATGTTAGTGTTGAAGATCATAGATATGAAGAATATGTACCATCAAAACCAAAGAAAAAAATTTTTGGAGGATCAGGAAATTTGTTGGGAAGGTAATATTACAACTGTTATTTAATTAAATATGCGTCTTCACAAAAATGAATTTTTAGCCCTGCACCAGATGTTGTTGGTAATGAAGTTCCGAAAGAAGTCCAAACTTCAGATAGTGGCGTTGCCAATGAAGCTACTGCTCGAGCTGAAGTCCCTTTAACGCCTGACGCTCCTACCACTTCATTACAGATCAGATTAGTAGATGGTACAAGAATTGTAGCCACATTTAACCATAGTCATACTATTGGAGATATTCGCCGTTACATCATAGCGTATCCTTTTTAATTAAAATTATTTGAGAGGTATTAATCATTGATAAACAAAAAAAATTCACAGGTATATTGTATATTATAGTACATTTTTGTTGTGTCGATTTATAGTGTGTTATACTTAGGGATGAGATCTCAAAAACTCTGCGAAATTTAATTTTAAACATTCCAAAAAGTTTGGAACTCGTCCAATATACTGTACTATACTACTTTTAAAAATTACTTTACCATAATAATACAGTAAGTCTACTTGTTATATTTCATCATGATTATTGTGTATCTAAATTGTATATAATATGTATTTTTTATAAATTATTGGTTCAATGAATTGATGACCTATTAACAAAAATCCACCCCAATTTCAAAATAATAAATTAACTATATTAATGTTTTTTCTTAATTGCAAAAGAGACACAAAAGATATTAGATACTTAATTTGTAACTTTTAAAGGTACCTTTAATTTGGTATATGGCATACTAAACCATCCAACATCTATCTATTGAGCGAGAGTCATAGTTAGTGCTAAATCATGTTCACATATTCGAATATTAAACAGTTTACTTTTGTGGTACATAGTTGATAATTTACTATTATATTTTACTTTATATACATTTTTGAAAGTTTGAATACAATTTTAGTTCAATCCATCCCTAGTTTTTTACTATTCATTTTCATTAGTACTTATCATCAATATATTCAAATGTATATATTTTTTGCTTTTGCAGATAATATTGTGTTGTGGAAAAAGTTATTAAATAATTTCAAATTAAATCAAAAATATTTTATTAGAAATGAACTCTAATTTATTGAATATTTTTCTTAACTACTTTTTATATCAGCGCAAGATCTAGCTTTGCTTCTAGACCATTTAAATTGCAGTCATCATACCCTCCAAAAACATTAGACAATAATGATCAAACATTGTCAGAAGCTGGATTATTGAACACTGTGATCTTCCAACGCATTGGTTGAAGTATTTTAGTTTTACTTGGTTTTTTTTTTGTTTTATTAATTTATATATTTACATTATTTTATCATGTTTTTTGGAAGCTGAAATTTAAAAATAAGACAGCACATTACTTCATTTATTTAAAAATAGTAATATTTATTTGATTTTGTATAAAATATCCTTTAAAAAAATATATGCATATAATTCCTTTCAAATGTTACAGTCAAAATAAATTCATGAATAATTTTTATACAGATTAATCACATTGTTGTTGGTTGCTTGAGTGATGGAAAATTTTAATTGAGATTTCCACAACCTCAACAGTTTACTATTAACAAAATTTATTAAATACTTAGCCATACTTTTGTCATCTTTACCACTGTATTTTTCACATAGTTCTTCCAGCCTATGTATGGATCCAATTTTTACAGGTGATTGGTAATTCATTGTTTGATCATCAATAATAGTACTAATTGTCTCATTGGTCTTTTCACATATTGTTTTCTTCATGGCCATGGGCCAGGATTTTTTTAACTGCCGATTGTTACAACATTTCTTTATTTCAAATGTATAGCCCATGTCATTCTTTAAAGAATTAAGTTCATCCTTGTTTAACATCAAATACTGATCCCATGATAATAAAACACTATGTTTAGCTAACCCTTCTGTTCTTTGCTTACAATCTTTTTGTAAGATTGACCTTTCTAATTGTAGATCTGTCGTAGGAAATTGCCAAGAGAGTGTAGATAAACTTTTGTATATGTCTCTGTGACCAGCAATTGAACGTAAAAATTGAAGAACTTTATAGTGTATGCCAATATCGTATACTACAAAATGACGAACACCTAATAATGAGTGATATGCAATGAATTCCACAAGATATGTATCAGGAATGCCGGAATAATCTGGCGCAATGCATATAATCAGATCATCTTTGGTGGGAGATACTTTTTGAACATCAATCGGTATGAACAGTTTTAATGAATTTTCTCGTCCCAGCAAAACTCCATATGGCTCAGTGTTGACAGGAACGTCATCAGGTTTGCAGTGAACCTCATATTGATGAAAATTTGGATCGTGATTAGTAGTTCTTATGCTATAGGAAAGTTTTGCTGGCTTGGAAACAAACTGATCTGCCATTTTAAACCACACGCGACATTCATAACCAGAGAAAGCTGATTTTGGGCCCAAAATGAGCAAATTAACAGACTTTTGTTGAGCAGACCAGAAGGCAGAATATGCGTAGTATTGATCGCGTTTAATCCAAAAGACAGGTGGTTTCGCTAACAAATTGTCGTTTTCCAGATCCACAGAGAACTTATCCTCCAACAGAACACAGTTTGTCATGTTGTCGGCCGTGTAACCAAAAAAGTTTAGCACTTCCAAGACGTTCAAAAGCTGCATATATTCATACCTGTACAACAACAGTGAAAAGACACTGACAAATGACACCAACACTAACAGCAACTGTTGATATTTTCTCATCGTTTCACACGATCCCTTAGGTAATAACCTATTACCGATTTGTTTTCATCAAAATTGATTAGGTAATGCGAACGGCAATATAAATAAATAATAATGTTATAAGTTTTAAATTGTCATACTATCAACATGAAAAAATGATCAAAACTGGAAATAGATCTATTTTGAAAAACCTAAGAAAAAAATTACAACAATAATGTTTGTAATTGTCATTTACTTAATACTTCTTGTCTAGAGACAACTAATTACTAATTAGTAGTTAGTCGTTAATTATTATTAAAAAAAAACTATTGCAACTTTTCACATTTGTAAATTACTTAATTGTAACTTGTAACCCAGTTGTTATCGGCTTACCTTGTCAGTTGATAACAAACGACGCGAATACACGATCAGAATCATCAGATGGTACGACAGTACCTTTTTTAAATCGATCAGGTGGATTAATCAATCTTTTAATAAATCAATTCAATTTGATTATGATCGAAGATTGCCCCCCCCCTCCCCGTGGATCATTGCTGGGCATGCATTTGGAATCTGGAAATGTTGGTCAAAAAAACTATAGTACTATACTTCGAATTTGAATATTTGGTTTTTTTTCTCCTTTTAAAATATACATAATTTTTTTAGAATCGATTTTCTTCGTATCGATTCTTATCATTTCGATTTAATTTCAAGAATCGTTTATCAGTATATTCTATATCACTGACTGAGTGAGGAGTGACTGACCACTGACGTCTGACACAGTCGTCACAGTCACAAACCACAGTGTTGCAGTGACACTGACTTCGTATTCCGTCCATTATTTCTATTAATCTTATTATAATATTATGAAATGTTTAATAGAATTTAATTTATTAACTATAACTATGGCTACAAGCCTATAACAGATTCCGCGATGGCTGAATACTAATACAGTAATACATATTTATCTATGGGCTCTCACTATAGAACTAGTGACAAAATATTTTATTATGTATATGCATTGATGATCATCAAGTATTAACCAAAGTTGCTCGTTATTTTGTATGTAATAAGTCTTATCAACTACGCAGCCATGCAGGCACGTATTTAAGGTTGGGAGTGATACTTAATTATGAAAATGCTAAATGCATCATTTAAAATTTAAGTTCGCCACTGGTTATAAGTTCTCGTATAGGTAACACAGTATTCAGTTAATGAAATTCTTCAATGTGCTAAGGAATTTAATGTATAGTAACTATATAGTTCATTCAAATGCGAGAAAAATAAATAACTTGGTAATAGAATAGATAATTTTTATAGCCTTATTTATACTTAAGTTTTATTATACAGAGTGTTTCTGAAATTTCACTAGTATACCGCGTACTCAGTGAGATGGCCTAATGAAGATTTTTTTGAAATATTTTTTTTATATTCAAAATTTGTGTTTATTCAATTTATTTTTAGAACATCAAATGAAAAAATAAATACCCAAGTTGTATTTTTTGCAAAATTCTCATACGATTTGAGGTGTAACATAATTTTCGCGATTGTCGAGCGTTTTTCACGCTCGAACCGCCGACTACAAAAAAATGGTGCGGCACATCGATTTGTAGGAGAATACTACAAGATAAACAGTAGTGATAGTCATTTGTTGTTATTTAACATACCTACACGATTAATTAACACATTGTTTTACATTGTCAGCCAATAAAAATGATAAAATAATAATAAATATTTGGGTTAACAGAGTTTTAAATTATCCCACTTACTGACGTACATTTAAGTTACCTATGTATTTTAGATGTTCAGGTAATTTGTTTTGGTAACTTTTATCCGTAATGTCATAACTTATAAGATTAAAGAAACAAACTATTTCTGTTCCTGTTTATACTGAAATTCCAGTTTTTTGATATCGCTGTAACATAATTATTTTAACGACTCGATGTCTGGATAAGTGGGCCCGGATTAACACTACCGTAGGCTCTAGACCCATATGCTAATACGGTCCTGTAGTGGTGTTCAGTATTTAAATGATTAATGCCGGGTTGCATGAACAATCACTAAACATTTAACAAATCAATAATGAGCTAATGATCCCTTAAATATGGTTTAGTGGCCCATGATTGGTCCATTAAATTTTATTGGGCCGTTAAATTAATAATTTTTTCATGCAACCCGGCATTAGAAACCTAATGTTTGGGAGAGGTAGTGTTGAATCTACCTTTACCAATATCATTTGAAACACTTTTAGGTTTAGCCCTTAAATTTTTTTGTAAAATAAGTGTCAATTAAGTATCCAATATAAACCTGAGCTTTAGCTCCCCCCCTCAATCTCAAACACTATTTGCGCCCATGGCCACAGGTCATAGGAGGAATTTATATTCCTACGGCAGCAGGGATACATCGAATTTTTTCAATGTTATTGATAAATTGTAATATTTGGCATTTGAACTTATATTTTATTTTATAATATATTATTTGACTATTACAATATTTTATAATAAATTATTTGACTACATATTATGATATTTTAAAATGTTTGAGGCCAACGGTTATATTTTATAAAAACGTTTTCTACATTTTTAAATTTGGATATTTTGACGGATTAACACTGTGGTATAACGTACGTTATGTGGTTGCTGACCACGGTTTAAGATTTATACTTATACATCGTATATTATCTTAAACCATTGACCTATTATAATAGGTCAATGTCTTAAACCGCGTTGCTGACAATACATTATTGATATCAATCATGTGATTTAATTTCCCGCCATTTTGTGATACTCAAGCAAGAAATCAGTTATCATTGTCATGTATTCACATTGTTGATTGTCCACAAATTGATTTATTTATCATGTTATAAAACATATAAAAGCATTAAAAGCATAAATATTGAATCTGAATGCACTACGAATTACGTACGTCATGACAGCTTAAGACTTTAAATTATGTTCGGTCACGAATTAAGAGAACAATATAATTATATATATTAACATTATTAAGTAATAACTAGTAAGTGCCTAACTTAACTCGTGTATTCTGTCGACTTGGTATAATGTAATTTTGTCTATTCTAAGTGTCCAACTCATTAGCTCATTGTAATTGTTGTAATCATAATTACATGCATATTACAGACTGTCTGTGTGTATATTATATTTTCATCATTGTTTAATTAAATTAATATTTAATTTAATACTTTTAAAAAATGTCTCAAAATGAAATTAGGTAAGTAGGTACAAAACATTAAATTAACCGACTGATTTATAAATGATGTATTCAATTTATCAGTAACTATGTGAGGACTGCTGAAGACGTAAAAAAAGTCATAGAGCACGCAAAACTTTCGGAAAAGGATCTTAAACCAAATGTACAACCTGTTTATTTTGGAGAGAAGTTTGAAAACTACAAACTGTTGCAGTTGGATGAACACATTCTGGCAGATCTCAAATGTGGTCAAACGTATGATTTAATACAAATTAGTATTATTGATATTCACAATTTTTTGAAAATTTTTCTATTATTGCCAATAATAATTAACAATGCATAGAATACATACTTTATATTATGGTATTATTAATAACAATTTTAAATCAACGAATAGTTATATATTTACTGGTAAATAAAATAACTCAAATTATCAGCAAAATGTCCCTGGTTCAACTAATTTTAACACCATCATATAAACATACTAATTGTAACTAAAATTTAATATTATAGTAATTTTACTTTAAACTGTGACTTACTAAATAACATAAAAAAAGAATTGTATATTGTATAGAATTATATTGATGAGCTATATTCATAATTCTCATTTTTTTATTTTACCTATTTATTACATTTTTAATAGATTAATTTGAATCAAAACATCCTCAATTCTTTATTTAAAAATTTTTGCAAATAATCTCCTTATTGAGTTTTATTGCAATTTAATACTAAGCAAGCCATCTCTTAGGTACATAGTTATCTAAATTGGAAATACCCTAAATTGTTCTTGTACTTACTACTTACATATTTTGTTATTATGTGTCTCCATAATTTACTAAGTCAAACCTTGATGCCCTTTTAAAATATTATTAATTGCTCATCAGCTATTTGGGACTATTCTCTAGATACTTCCTTTTCATCTTATTTATTTTTATATTATTGTAGTGTGGTATTCAAAGGAGATGATGATGAATCTGCTGTATTGTGTACTAAGACTAAGACCTATGATGTTCAAGAAGCTGAAACATCAAATTCAATTTTATTACTTCCTGAATTAACATTTCCAAATGAAGAGTTCAACCACAAAGAACTCACTAGCAGAAAAGTAATACATTTTAGGGATGGGCCAATACCTGATACTGGATTTACTACTAATTTATGCTACCAATAAAAAAACCGATAACTAGTATATTTTAAAAACAATATTTTTGGCATAAACCATGAACTGATATTAAAGATAACTGATATCAGCTATATTCATAAAATTATATTATAAGTCTATTGCTATAGTACTACCATTGGCACAAACAATAAATCTCTTCTTTTGTGATACTAATATATTATATTGGTTGATTTGTTTGTTTTTATGCTATCGGTTCCAATATCAGTTTAAAAAAATACATCCTGATATCGAGTAACGACTCTAGTATCGGCCCACCGCTAATATATTTTATAAAAGTGGCAATGTTATGGTAAATATTTAAAAATTAATTTTTGCAGGTAGTTGGTATATTCCATAAATATTTAGAAGTGAAACCTTGTAAACCACGTCTTACAAAATTGAGAGAATTACTAAAAAAATGTAGTTATAAAGGATCAGAACTCGAAAAAGAAGTATTGAGATTCAGCGAAACTTATACATCTGAGGATTTATTAGCCAAGATACAAGCTAGTGATGACGAACTAAAAGATGCTCTTAAGGAAATGGGAGCATTCCAAATCGATGGTAATTTAAAGAAAATAATAATTCAATAATGATAAAGAAAAACCTTGGGCTAACTATTAAATCATTCATTTTAATCCTTATTTATTCCAGGTAAATGGAGAGTACTAGATTTTGAATATGAATGTAGAGCTTTATCATTTTTATTAAATTTGATTGATGAACAGTCATGGCCTTACAATACTATACCTATGGATGAAACTCTCAATATTCTTGGTGAATTATTACCTCCGGTAATATTGCAACACATTATTGATCAGTATAGTACTTGGTGTGTATCATCAAATTTAAGTAAGTTTATTAACTATACAACGTTTTTCATTCTATATAAAAAGTTTTTTGGTTGTTATTTTTTTATAAATTTATAGTATTGTATTTAAAATATTTTTAAATAAGATATAATATTATGTTGTATAATAAGATATAATTTAAGTAATGTGCGTGTATATTCAGAAAATATTACTTTAAATATAATGTAATAGATGAATTATAAATAAATCATTGATACTATAAAAAAGTTGTCCATTTTAATTTTTGTTATCCAAATTATTAAATATTTTTATCTTAAATTAAATGTCTTGTATTTTTATAGGTCAAACACACAGATCATTAATTGAAGACAAAGTGTGTAGATTCATGGGTGTTGGACTTTTACGTCCGTGTGACAAATTTAATTTAACTGATTTTAAGACAGCCTGGCAAGGAAGTGTTCCGGAAGGTTAACTTATAATTTATAACACTGTATATTTAGTGTTATTAAAAATTACATAGCATGTGAAATTATGTTGTTCTCCAGGAATGACTACAAATTTGAAACAATTGGATGGAACAGTGCTTGTTGATCAATCCAGTCATCCTCAGACAATTGCCTATTTCAATGAACAAGACTTACCAGACAATATACGCGAAAGATTTCAATTATTATTTCAAATCAGAAAGAAATGGACGCTCAATGAAATACAACCATTTCTCGAGTATTATTAAAAAAATAACCTGATAGTTTCAATATTTTTTAATATATTGTTTTTATAGGAAATTGGCTACTGATAAATTGAATGTAAATTCCTTGTTGGCTAAGTATACCAGAGCTACTACTGTGGATGGAGTGCGGTTTTATTGTTCAAGATATAGTGGACTGTGATCAGGTAAAAATAAATAAAGCAATTAATATATTATTCATACTGTATAATAGAAAAATAATCTTTTTTAAATACATTTATTGTTGCCATGGTAACATTATGTTCATATGAATTTTTCGGTGTCTTAATAAATTCATTTTAAAATTTCAGATGATTTAGCAATAACACTGTATATAACATACATGCATTAAATAAACTTATAAAAAATTCTGTCTAAAGTAAAACAATAAAATGTAAATAAATATTAATTTTAAGATATACCTATATATGTATAAAAAAATGTACACATTTAAAAATAAAAACAAGTTTTAAAATATTAATATGTTTTTGATTTACTAAAATTCAATAAGAGAACAAAAATTACTTATCACGACAGCCAACAATTTTATAATTTAAAATTAAAAAAAAAAATTACATATTTACAATATTACAGTAAGTTAATATTTTTTTAAATGTTTATAATTACATTCAAACTTCTTAAATTAATACTGACAATTACATAATATCAGCTACCCATTAAAAGAAAAATAATATATATTATGTATATCAGTCTATGGATTTCGGTAAACAATAATAATATATTAATTATCATAAGTGTAAGACTGCTTATTTGATGAGTCTCATCGTTATTTTATATAAAAGTTTGTAATTCTGTACCTATTCATCATTATACTTAAAAAAATTTTTTTTTTTTATTCAGGAACAATGTGTTGTTTATATTTAAAATTTAAATAGTTGACGTTTATGTCTTCGACAAACAGATTTACAACAAGGATCTGAACACGAAGACCACTTCGGACATTTTTTACGGTCACATCTCACTTTTCCATCCTGAAAAAAATTTAATAAATATTACAGTTAAATATAATACAATTATGTTGATTAATGTGTAAATACTGATTTGCTGTTCTAAAATAGTCTCTGTATAATATATAAACATATAAATGTAGTAAAATAATAAGTTATTTAATATAGTAAAATATTATATTGTGAGATTTTATAATAAATATACTTTTTTTAATTTGTAAATGCATGATACATTAAGTAAGACCGTTTTTAATACATACTTTGCATTTACAATTGATGCACTTGACTTCACCATGTGAGTATATCTTAGGATGCCATTCTTGGCCATTCTCATATGGACCTCCGACAGGATAACTGCAACCACCGTTTGTTAGTATTTCTAAATCTGAACCACTCTCTCCATTGACTTGTTGATCACCCTGGGCTAGTTGAACGAGTGGCCCTGTTGGTTTTGAAGTAGTTTGCAATGTGGATGGACAAACCTTACAACAGGAACGTTTGGTTGCCCTAATAGCCACTCTTTGGTCACATTCTAATGGCGGACAGTCCATACGTTGGCACTTTATTTTTAAAGATGTATTCTATTGAATTTATAAATGGATAAAATTATTAAAATTATTTTTTTTTTAACATTTTTGAATTACTAACATTACAATGACATAGTGTACAGGTGTCAAAACCGTTAGGAGGTAGATATGGATGCCAACTACTGCCAGCTTGAAATTGCTGTCCAGCTAGTAAGCAAGAGTTTGTTGAAATGTTTTGATTTTCAAATGCGTTATCTAATAAAAAAAAAAAGTATTAACAGTTGGTACAAAAAACAGTTTCCCAGCACACGCATTTCTGAACATCAAAAGTCAAAACCTATATTTTTATAGGGTCGAAAAATCGTCTCACCTGCATGTGTAGTCTTCGCTTTACCAATGTCCAACAAAGACAATTTGAATGTAGCAGTACCAATTTTGTGTGAGCTTTAACATTAAAGTGTTTATTTCTTTAGGTAAGAATATTACCTCCGTTTGTGCTGTTGATTTTTATATTTTAATTTTAAAGCTTGGTTATGAGGATATGTAAAATATTACAATCTAAAAAAATTTAAATATCTTGTAAAACCAATGGACAACCACAGGTTTTATGCTTACATTTAAAGTTTAATAATATAGATCAATTTCACCTAAATAATAGGTAGTTAATATTGAATTACCTGAAAATAACAACACAAAATTGGTACGGCTAAACGCAAATTGCTTTATGCTACATCCTACAAGTCAGACTACGTCTGTAAAACGAAGACAAAACATGCTGATGTGACAGTACTCTAAATGAAAAACGAGTACGATTTCGGATAAAATTACCTTTATCAAACCCCTTAAAAATGCTTGCGCTGACATCGTCTCAACTTGAGACTCAGGTATTTTATATTTACCTTCACACGTTGGACAACACATTCCTGGCTTGGCAGAAGGCACTGCACATTGAACTACTGGACAAATTATAATATCACATATTACTCTACCGTAATGGCAATTACACATGAAACATTCGTCTACTAAGGATGTCCATTGGGCGCCATGTTGATAGTACTTTTGACCGTGTAAACAACTTAAATGAGACGCGTGCGGATGGTCTGTTTCGTCATCGTTCATGAGTATATTGTTTGAATCGTTATCGCCCGCTTCGCGAGCATAACAAACTGCAGGAACGTTAACCTGATGATATTAATAATACGCCGAGTAAGTAAATAGAAAGAAACGATTACATTTATCCAACAAAATAACTAACATATTTCCATTCGGTTTTCAGCATGGATTGTCCTAGTTTCGGATCCCACAGGTCCACGTGCACGATGTTAACATTGAGCCGTAATAGTTCTTCTTGGCCTAAGCCAATAGTGTACCCTTCGAGGGTCGGCCCTTCAAATTCCTCGAGAAGTCTTCTGAATACCGGTGCTCCGGGAAGTAGAATCGGAGAGTCTTCGATGTACAGCTCGAAGATGCGGTTTTTAACGTTAGAACCGGATAGGACGACCTGTCGATTATTTAACGTGATTATATAGTTGGCTGCAGTGATATAAATACAATTTTAGCAAAAGCTCACTTCATATTGCAGCGTACAGTCGGGACCTACGGTCATCCACAAGATTCCGACCATCGACCGTTCGTCAGGGCTGGACAAAAGCATCGCGCCCGACGTGTCTCTGGCATCAGCCACCGGTCTCCATAGAAATCGATTCTTAAAGCCGGACGACGCACTGAACAAGCTCAACTCTTCGGAGTACAACTGTTCCAGGTGTACCGGGCCCACGGTGGACACTGACCCGTTGCTCCAGTTTTGGACGATTGTCTCGGATATATCGAGAGCCGACACACGGGACTCGCTAGAAACTGCATTACGCAGAGGAAAATTAAACGATCGTGTTTAATGGGATTGCGTTAAATCGAGTGCGTCTATTTCTGTAACCTTACCAATAGCCAACTCAGTGACTGCGTTATTGTCAAATTTAACACGATACTCCAACGCTCCGTCCTTATTAATAAACGCCCAAGCCACGCCACTGGTCCTGCCAAAACGCATTAAAAACAAGAGCATTATTCAAAACAATCGGAACCACGCCAGATAGTTATAACAGCTAAGCGAATAATTTATTTCCGACCGTAATCGCCGAACATATCTCAGCCGCCGCAGCCGGTCGTGTAGAAAACAGAGTACCAAACAATGTATAGACGATTTGAATCATATGCACTTTATTGCTGATGACACGCTACATGTATATAATATATAGTATGCGTATATATACTAGAGGGAATTTTTACGACTAAAATATTGTAAATATTTACTTTAATTTTTCGCTTTTTCCCGTCGAAAATGTGCATGATATACGCGCAGGCACTTACTCGGGTAAACGACTGGCAACCAGTACGATTATGAGATAGAACTATTTACCATTAGCGACCAACTGCACTATTTTCAGTCATCCACGTGAATAATTTAAGTGACACGAGGTCATTCACACGCGTGGTCAACCCATTATACAGTTTACAACTTTCATTTCGTGCAAAATGTATTGGTATATACTATATATAGGTAGAGGTTTCGTTGAAGACACGTCGAGCCGCATAATAATACGTATATATATATTAAATTATATAGTTTCCCTTTCAGAGGAAGTGTGTCTTTTCCGCGTTTTGCCAAATTGATCACAATGCAATGCCAAAAGTATTTTTAAAATGATTGTGTATTTGATTTTCAAAGTAGCATATATAATAAACGGACGCGCGAATTAAATTCCGCCTATCGCACGAGTGCATTTTATGGATACCGCGCAATAATTCACAAACGCTCGGCGCGTGTCGATCGTCGGCTACAACACATCATCACTATTGTTATGCACACCTGTCCTTTTTTGAGTCCATTTGATGGCCGTTGGACGTGACCGACGTCTGGTAGAGATCGCAAGACACCCGGGGCACCACGACTCCCTGCAACTTGAAACCCGACTGTTTGGCTTCCAGAGTGACGACGACGTCTCGTTTGGACAAGGCGTTGAGGTCGGAAAACGTGACGGGTGATTGTAATTCCACGACGGTCGTGCTGTTTGTGAGCTTGTCCACTCTTATGGTCTGCAATCATTGTTTACAACCGCGAGATTATAAAATCGTACGGTTTACGTATTTCGGTCGAATAAAATGGTAAACGTCACAAATAGCACTACACGTGCTGCGCACCTACCTCTTCTATAATGGTGCGGTCGTTTCCGGCATATTTCAATTTGACTAGGAACGACCCGCCGTCTTGGCGGCCGGTGAATGGACCGTTGAACATGATTTGTACGTGTATGGACGGTGATATGGTCGATATGGACACAATGCTCGTACCGCCGGAATCTCGAGCGTCACCCGTGAGAAGCGAGCTGAATGCCTCCGTGTCCAGCGCTCTAAACCTACGTTAACTTTATTAATAATACGTAGTACACGATGTATAATATAATATTTCAGTCACGTACACATTGTGCGAGGGGTGGTTCAATCTCCCTCCCCGAATCGTTTTCAAAAAAAAAAAAAATATGTTTCATTATAAGAATTTATCTACATGATTCATTCATGGTTCTTTTAAACGTCGATGTCATATACCTACTGTGCTTTTATGATAACGTCATGACGATAAATATTTTTTTCTTATGACTTCTCCTCTCCCCCAAAATCGTTTTTCTGCTGTATACGTGTCTGTAATATTTATACGTGTATATATATATATACCTAAACTAGAAACTACATTGATGGATATTTTTGACGAAAAACAAACTTTTATTATAGGTCAAATCGCGAGTAGGTACACCCAATAGTATAATATAATACTACCCACATTATTTTATGTTCTGGACGAAAAAATTGGGATAAAATATGATTTAAATTAAAAATGAGAATATTGTTCTATTTAAAATTATATGGATTCTTATCCTACGAAAATTGAACGTATGATGACTGTCTCGTACGTCGAATACTCAAATCTACACTTAACGCATTGTCTTGTGTCCCTGTGTCCTATTTGTATACACATTGGTATTCAGACTCTAATTGATTATAATAAAAACACAAAAAATTCAAAAAAAATTTAATGTTAGGTACATTTTTTCTAAGCCCCCCCCCCCAAAAAAAAAAAAAATTCTGGATACGCCATTGATTTAGACTGTAGTATGTTATATTTGTCATGCACAATGTATATAATATTTATAAGTACATTAATGTATTATAAATTATAATATACAAATCTAGATATAGGTACTCCTGCAAATGAGACGTAAGGTATATAAACTGCATAAGGCAAAAATAAAAAATGAGTCTCTATTTAATGATATGGAATATACTTAATTTATTTATCGACTATATCTTTGTAGTCATGCAGAGTTGAGGAAAACTATTAGGTAGGTAGGTATATTACATTGTGATTGTGTCCTATTTAGCTTACCTGTAAAGAGAGCCACTGATGATAGCCGTGTCCCAGACAAGTGATACGGATATCTTTTCTTCGCGTAGCAAACGCTTGTAGTCTTTGGATACTCGTCGCCAGACTCCGCAAATTTTGCCTGTCAGGTTCTGGTAGGAGGTGCTTGATAGCAATGCCTAAAATAAGATAGTTCGATTTATTCTCTACGATCTAACCAGATCACAATTTATTTAGACCATACAATTTCTTCAATTATGTTGCCATTGGTGTCAACGAACTGCACCATTCTAGGCCTGTCATGTTTGTTGGTATAAAACGAAAAATATAAATGTTTTCTGTAAAACGTAAAACGTCCGGTTGCAACATAGTCCAATCCCATTTCTTGCAACGACGTCGGTGGGAAATCCATCTTCCTGAGGAGGTCACTACTTGATTTTATTGATTGACCAGTCAATACAGCAGCAAAATCTATAAATAATAAAAATAAAAATATATACATTTATGGATTTTGCGATTATCATAATGTATTCAACCAACTAAATATGCGTCTAATATCATGTTGGATGATAATCTAAACGAAAATACAATTAACAATTTAATATATTAGTTTGATTTGAATGTATATATTTTATTCACGTTTTATGGTTCTACATCTGCACTTATGGGTATTATAAATTATTGTTATTATTTTACTGCAGGAACTAGGAATCTATATAATTTTTCATTCGTTCAATATTTCCGTGTGTTTGTACCTATTTTGTACAAATATGCAATTATGAATTTATATCGCATTTGGCATACTTAAAGTTTAGTTGTTTTATTACTATTCTATTAGACAGTTAAATACGTTAGTAGTTTTTCAATATGCTTTTGATGGTTCGTTCAAATATTTTATCTATATATTATCTAGGAAGCATACTATAGCAGACTACAGAGGCAGACAGTTGGCATAGGTGCTCGTTTACACTCCATGAATTATTACATTCTGTGGTGATGCCGACATGTTTGAACCATGAGGCGAATTGTCAAACACAAATTTATTGTTTTCACTAAAACCATCTTTTAAATTTTTCCACTGAAACCCAATACCTACAAAGTATAACTGATTTCGATTTACCTGAGTTGATCAATCATCATAGTTAGCTATTATTATACTTATTTATAGAATACTTAAATCACAGTTTACAGTAAACGTAATTTTAAAAGCCTGATTTTTTAGTAAGTTTATTGTACATAGGAACATGTAACCTAGCAGGGTTGGCCTGGTTACAGCAGAGGGCAAGAATTCCTGCCTAGGCCCTATCATGTTATAGTTTTCAGTACCCCGTTCACTAATGATGTACAATAAAAAATATAACCATACATCATTATGTTCAGATATAGACGAATGCTAAAAGTTCATAAATGTGACGATCTGGACTTTTCAATAATCTGCATAATATTATGCAGTATTCACTCCATTTAGTTTAATTGTTTTTTTAAGGCTAATGAGCCTAAATTGCTACTTTGGTATATTCAAGCCAACCCCGAATATAAATATATGACACATTACATAATCATATTAATTTTTCTATCCTAGTAATTCTGAGACCATAGCCCGTGTGTGGGGAGTATACCTAAAGGTACCAACTTTTTGCGGTTAAAATACTAATTACTTAATCCGTAAATTGTAATCGTAGGTATGTATTTATATTTATCCAACATGGTTTATATTTTAATTTTTAATCAACGGAAATATAATTTTCAATAATTATAAGGCATTTATTATTTTGCTCGAAATTCGATCCAAACAACTGGTTTTCATCATAGATATATTGCAACGTAGTGAAAAATGTAATATATAAACTATGAGATGCATATTATATATATAGATATATATGTATAAGTCATAGAACAATACTTACGTTTCATGCTCTTTTCTTCTTCATCTGGCGGATCTTGAACAAAATCCTCTGAAACCAACAATAAATACATTATTTTATATATTTGAATGGCGTAAGTAAACATAAGAAGATTCAAATTTGAGGAGTGACGACACCCATAATTAATTATGTATTTTAGCCAAATTATATTACAGTGGTTTCGACATACATTTAATATAATGCATAAAAGCGTATGTTTATAAGTACACACTTTATGGTCTATATAGTATATAGCTATACTATTTGTACATATCATAATATCATTGAGTATATATTGTACAATATATACTCAATGATATTGTATATAAGAGTTTTATATTCATGTATATATAATCCGTATTAAACCTTGGTGGCGGCCCGTCTATCCATCTATATTGCCAAAGTATTTGCGCACGCCAGACTATTTTCGTCGTCATTTGGAACGTCATAGAGAGTAGGTATATAGCGGTAGTATAGCGTATCGAGAATATTGTGTATAAGGGAAACTGTCGACATTCGGACATTATGTAATGATGTACACATTAATCGGGTCCCCCAAAATATGAATTATGTTATACTATTTTATTATACCTAAATCAGAATTCGGAATATGAAACTACGAAAGGCCGCAAATAACGTCGACCAAAAGTAAACAGTCGTACGTATTGCAGTTAGTAACCAATAACCATTCTCATTGATATGTCAATGAATTTTATATCTTATTTCTATCTGCACATAACTTGATAAATGTTAATACATCGTATCACTTATATGATGAACAATTAATATAATCCCAAAATTATTCATACTATATCCTAAATATATTATTTAATAATAAAACCTCATCAAAATTAGATAATGCAATATTAGTTATTGTGCGATAAATTTCGATTTAATGTGTTCGAGCCAAACTTTTTTATACATAGGCATTGGGTATACTTTGAGTATTGTTATTTATTTGTATTGTGCCCCTAAATACGTACATATAGTATACACGCTATTCAACTATTCATTAGATTTACCTACAGTTAAAATATAATTTATGCTTTACATACGAAATTAACATCTTTAAAATTTTTTTTAAAATTATGTTCAGTAGGTAAATACGCAATTGATTATTAAAACTTAATAAAAAGCTACTTAATACCTAAATAGATTATTCATTTGTTAATGGTATTATATTATTGGAGTACCTACATAAAGCGATAAATAATTTGAATTGAGTAGTAAAAATAAATGTATGAAAAACAATTAACTACCTTCTTGAATACGAAGGTTTAGTCATGTATCTTATACATAATAATTAAGTTTCCTCTTAAATGTCTCATACTACTTATGCATGGATCCTAGAATAATGATTTAAGATACAAAATAAGAATAATTAAGCTAACTCACTTATATATTTTCAAGGGTTGATACATTATTGTCACTTATTGAAGTTACGTAATCTTAATTTATTTAAATATACCTATTTTGATGGTTCAATAATAAAACATATTGTAAGGTCGTACCTAAAGGGGTTACTTTTAAAATTAAATTTATATGACATTGGAATGCATTTTGTAAATATGTGATCGATGCAATTAATTAACCGAAACATTTGTCTAACATTTCTTTGGAGACGAATTATATTCATCAATATTTAAGTTCTTCAGATCTAATCACCATCATATTACATCGAATTCACTTAAATTATTTCATACATTTTATTTTTGGTTCATGCCTTCATGGTCTTCTAATAATTATTATTTATTGTATGGACTAATTATAGTCAATAATAGATCGATAAGTATCTAAATATATAATATAGCCAGTATACTATAGTATAACTAATAATAGCAGCAAATACATTGTATTTTTATATTCACTCGTTCATTGCAAATACACGAATGATTTACGAAAATAATTGAATTATTTGAATGTACAATATTTTTGTTTAAAAACGAAATAATAAAACAAAAGTACAAAAGATAACCATGCATTTTTTACATCTCAAAAGAAATAATATGGGATACTTTTCAGTCACATTGTATGGCTGTATATGATTCCTAAGGCCTAAGACTTAAGTCAATACAGATATAACACTATATATTTTACATTTTTATAAATACTAATATTATACATATACACACACTTCCAGGTTTTTATAAAATACCAAATGAAATCCGCTATTATCATTTTACCAATATGGCATTATGAGCCATGACCTAATGTCCACAGCAATAGTAAACTAGTAAATATAGTAAGTATTATGCAGAACACGTTTTTCGAATTGTTGCATTTTTTTTTATACATTTATAATCATAATTGTCACATTATTGTGTCATATTATTATTCTTATTTATTAATTCATGAAGGTCATTCATAAGAAATGGTTTAATCGAAATGGATACAAAAAAATGTCACATTATCTGTTTACATGCCAAACAATGCTAATTGTACGTTTGTGCACAGCAGAACCAATAAAGTATGCAGCCCTTCCTTAAAAAATAATTTAACAATAGAAATTACTATCAATAAACAACATTTTATATTGGAATTCAGAACGAAATGTACTTGGAATGTTGTCGTTGACAATTCAAACTATAAGAAATCGATTTAATTTCAAAACATTTTACAGATAACTATAACTTTATAATACAATTTATAGCAATATTAAACTTTTATGTATTTTATAATTGTCTTGAAACAAAAAACATTTTTAAAATATAACACATATGTTTGTATAATAGGTACAAGTACCAGTTGAGAAAAAATGTAGATTCCTAAACATTTTAATTGATTATTACCGTTTCAATTTAATCAAGTATCTGATATTTGTACTAATTGGTTGAATTACAACAAAACAAATGCTTAAAAAAATCTGATTGAAACAAAATAAATCCATGCAAATTGACATTAATCATATAGGTAATGTGTCTTACTATGTTTTATGGTGATTATTATTATTATCAAATTTATAGTAATTTTTAAGTGTAATATGTCTTAAGTACTTTAAATTGTACGTAAAAGGTAGAACAAACAATTTACTATCTGTCGTCTATGCTATACGATTTATATAACAATATAAAATAGGTTAACATTAGATCTATATGTACTTAACAATTTTTTTAATGTTGAACCAAATGCCCACAGTATTTCAAATGCGTATAATATAATATGTTATGAAATTAAGTATAAACGAAATATCTTACTGGCATCTTCTCCTGGGCATGATTTGCAACATTTTCCTGGCAATAATATGGGTTCTTCACAATTGGGTTTAGGGCAATCATTTTTTATGTTCCGACATTGCACCCGGCCAATAATTCTTCTTTTCTTTTGAACCTGAATAATGTGTAAAATAATAGATAATTACGGGTTTCATAATTTATTGATATAATTATAGGATGTAGTTTTTATGTATATATAATGCATAGTATAATATTATGCACACAATATTATTCGGAATTCGGATCTCTACATATAACATAATATATATTATAAAGTAGTATAAAGTAGTATAGCAACTATAGGTACTATGACTTTATATTTCTATATTATTTAGAATATAAATTATAACATTTTTGATTTTTCTTTGTACCTATCATCTATACTGGCACCGCCAACAATCATACGATTTCCCCAAAAAAATTTCATATTAAGGTTTAGGATGTATATTTATAACATATAAATATGTATAAAAGTCATATCGTGGTGCATACACTCGGTATGGAATAATAATTTTAATATATTTGAAATTAGACGTATTCGAAGGTAATTTTGCAATTTTGCAATTATTGTTATTTTGCCAATAATTACATACAGTCATGCAGATGCGTTTTCAAAATACATATTAACCATGGAATAGTAACGATAATATATTATATAATTTTGAATAGTATAGTATATATATAGGTACTATTATAGATTAATTAATTATAAATTATAATTAAGACACACCAACAAATCAAAACTGTATTAGTTGAAAACTTGGAAATCAAGAAGTTGATATTTTAAAGTCATAGCGATGTCTAGTAACAACGACTTAATGCTGAATAAGTAAATACAGTTTATGTATAGGTACAGGATAGTGGATACTGTTTATCTAGTATCAACTATATAGGTAAGTGTATATTACTATTATATTCTATTGTTATTTACCAATAATTTGAAAACTTAAAGAGGATATGAATTGCAAATGTGGTACTCGATGCAGAACAAAAGCAATAAAACCAAAAATAATATTTTATATATTATTATATTATAATAATTGTATGTTTTTTTTTTGTTATAGTATAATATATAGCATAGTATAACATTCTATCGTTTTAAATGTATACCTATGTATTTTGTGTACTCGTACCTATTGAATATTACTTAGTATTTAGTAGGTACTCATACCAACTAAACCTGAATGTAAATCGGGTAGTAATAGAAACACGAGTTTCTGGCATAATATCGCGTAGGTAATGCCAGATAATTGTAAACATCTATTAAAACGTAGGTACGCGATCTGATGATAGTCTTAACCGCGCATAAATAAATAAATATGAACTCATGTATATATATATATATATGTATATAATTACTCGAACATATTATATATATATATATATATATATGTATATAATTACTCGAACATATTATAAAGTATGCAGCGCATGTGCGCGTCATGAGCTTCTTTTTTAAATTAGCGAAATTATTATATCGTAACGGTTGTCGATCGTTCCTATAATATAGTATAGGTACCTTCGTAGGGCTTGTATTACATATGCATACAAACACGTATAATAGCTGGCACCACCTACCTAGCAGCTACCTGTATTGACCTGTACACGTGATGCTCGAGCCGACGAAATTAACCGAAATCGATGACTTTATAAAACGCGGACGAGTCTTCGTCGCGCTTGGTGCAGGTACCTATGAGCGTTTATCCGCAAGCACACGTCCGCCGTAGCAGTCTTGCGTGCCTATATATATTATAGGATGGGATCTATATCTATACGATGTGTTATGCATTATTATTGCGTACCCACACCTCGGCGGTTCTTCTTGTGTGGAGTTTTTAACGGATTTTTTTTTTTTTTTCTGCTCTCTCCCTCCGTCCGCATCGTATTTTTTACCGTAAATATATTTTATGCGCGCGCGATGACAGTCACGACGACGCGTGTAATAATGCGCGAGCGTGTGCAATGTGTGTGTGTGTGTGTGTGTGTGTGTGTGTGTGTGTGTGTGTGTGTGTATTTTCTTCTTTTTTTTTTTCATACATAGATCGTCGCCGTCGTTATTCACGAACATCGGCTTTCTATATCGGCGGCGGCGTCGATCGATTGTTCTCCTCCGTCGCGCGACGATGGAATGCGTGAATCCGATCTCATCGATTGTTTGGAGACGCGCGCGCGCGCGACACACAATAATAATTGAACGACGACGGCGGCAGACGCGACCGGATCACGCGATAATCACGCATAATTAGAATAATGTTGGCCAAGCGGTCCGTCGGACATCCCGAAAAGTGTCTGTCGCCGCCTTTTTCCGAAATACATAATATTATGCGCCGGGCCCGCCCTTAGGCCCACACAACCTCATTCCTCCACACTCGCTGGCGAAAACAATATAATAATAGTAATACTAATAATATTATTATAAATTATAATTTATAATTTACACAATATGCGCACACACACACACACACAAACGCGGCGACTACGATGACGCCGCTACACAATATTATAATCACTATGTGTATAATACATTAATATACGTGTAGGAACCTTATAATGTACATGATATAGGTAGGTATGTACATTATGTATTCTGCACCGCACCGGTACATTATTATAAACGCGACACGTACACTGTATAAAGGTATTTTTTTCATAATGTAATGAGGACGATAATAATAATAAATACCTCGGAGTAACAAAAAAAAAAAAAAAAGTCGGTAGGTATAGGTGTATACGAAAACGTGATTATTTTCATGTACAGAGATTTATTCCGGTGACATTATATTATATACTATATACACAAATACACGCGTTGTTGATGTTGTTATTATTATTATTATTATTATTATTATTATTGTATCTGTAAGTGTCGCACTTACCTGTACGCATTCGCATTTTATACAGTACATGACACCGAAAGGTGGCCCCAAGTCCGCGAACCAAATGGACCCGATTTCTTTGAGTTGTTTGCCAAACTGGCATTCTGAAAATTATTTTTAAAAAAAATGTTGACAAAATCAAATTGTAAAATAGCAATTCTATAGAATAAAGCAATATAGGGTATTAATTTCAATTGCAAATATATTTTGGTTTCGGGTATATATCATATGAACAAACATGAAGTTGAGTTTTGATCATAATTATCATTGAATATTATACACCTATATATATATGTATCGTTAATACTCGACTGCTGTCGAGCTATAGTGTCTACTTTGGTTTGATTATCAGCGATATTTACTTAAATTGTACTGTAATACATTTTTTGTTTGTTTGTATGTTACATTTTCAATACATAATATTATAATAGCATTATATGTTTTATGTGTGGCTAGGAGGACTACCACGATTTAGCGGTAACTTTTTGAAACATGGACCTTGGTAGCGCCCACCTATTTGTACAGCAAAATAAGAAAATTATTGTGCGATTGTTAATAAAATTATAAAGCCCCCATCAAATTAAATATTTAAAATTTAAAAAAAACTTGAAACTAAATAGGTAAATAACATTACTTATATTCAGAATGTTAGATATACGACCGATCATAGGTATTATTAGAAAAAATATAAGTTCCTATACGATGATTGATGACCTTGCATATACCTATATATAAGTACATTTTATTAGACTCTTGCAAACTCTCGATGATCAATATTGTATCTGTTGGTATATCTATTATTTATCATTTATATTCAAAGAAAGAGGATTCATGATGAATAGCCATATAGGTGGTAAAAATAAGACTAATGAATTTCGATGAAAATTGTATCCACTTATAATTAAGATTTACATATAAATAATCGTGTACCTACTGAAATTCCGTAAATTGTAAATAAAAACAAATTTCCATTACGAATTTTAAATTGTATTGTTAAACAAAATATAAGTATGGTTTCATGAAAGTAGTGACTAGGTATTTGTCTGTCATCTATCATTTTAGCTGTTTCATAATTAACTATTTCCTCGATATAAGTATAATATATTTATTCTCTTTATGTGTAACTACATTGTAATATGTTTTATACATTTTAATATGTACCTACGACCTACCTAGTCTGTATAGCCATACCGAAAATGAAATTAAATGTGTGAAACTAGTACTTTTCAATTTAGTTTTATTGAACTAAATGTGTTTGTTTCAAAAATTGATATATCATAACTCACATAATCGGACAAGTGACACATTTCAAGTTTAGGTGATCATATAGTTAGAAGCTGTTTATTTTTAAACATAAGAAAATAACATGGTTTGATTATAAATTGAAATGTTATAGAATTATAGAGATTAATCGATTCACGGCTATATAATATAGTATAATAGTATGTATAATGTATATATAAATATACTACCCATAATCTACATGGTATAATATATACAATATATTATAACATAATATAACATAATATACACTAATGAAATATAGCTTAAGTTTTATAAACATTTTCTAATGCATAATTAATCTAACTAAATATCACGAATGAATAATTCTATGACTTCTATTTGCTTAGATTTCTTAGCTTCTTGATCCCATTTATTGATATCTTATATCGTAATTGTGTAAGTTAAATGTTTTAAAAATATTTTGAATTTATTTGTTCAAAAATAAATAGTAGGTATACTCATAGTTCGTTACTGAATAAGAGGTATATGTCATTATAATTTATTGGGTAAACTTTTAGTCCATTTTTTCTTAGAAAACAATGATGGTAACCGACAATAGTATAATAATGAAAAAAGGTATTGTTGTACCAATATCAATTTTCCCAGATATTGAGGCAGACCCTTTAACCACCCCTATAAATACGCCCCTGGCCTTGCAGCCTGGACAAAGAGAAGCACAAACTATTTCATCGCCACGGCTTTACCCATACCATGATTCGATGACTTTTTTCTCCTTAGTTAAAATCTTTTTTTTTAAATTCAGTTATGCCTACTTTTGTACAGAGTATTAATAATTAAACCCAACTACCTTTGTTAATTAAAAACATAATTTATTACATCAATATAACTTGCAATCTATTGTGTGGCGTTCGTAGCGAGTAATAAATTATGTATTATACTAATGGCATCTGCTACTGAAGTTGTAAAAGAGATCAATAAAAAAATAAATTTATATTACATGTACATCAAAAACGTACCATGGTGGCATAGTTTATGTTACACTGTTGTCTGTTATATTAGTATTGCTACATCTATCCTGCACACGAATCGTTTAGGTTAGTAATAATTCAACTCTTTTGTTGTTAGAATACGATGTGTATACCTAAGTTAAATATACCTGAAGATTTATAGAATTATGAAGAAGTATTATTAAGTATAAATATACATGAGCATTACCTAATACTATTTATTTTAATTTATTTAATACACAGTGGCACTGAATCATATACAGCATTTGGTGAAGCAAGGAAAAAACTATTAACAGCCATCCACCCACTACCTACGACTATACATATAAGTACTTACATTAACATACATTTTAATATATAACCAGAATTATAAGTAGAGTGATATTATGTTTTTATTGAAGATACAGTGGTACTATCAACTGCTACAATCGTATAGTACTAATACTACCTAAAAGGTAATGTGCTAAGACTTAATTGATTTTCGACTAATTACAGTTCTAAAAAACAGAAAACCACCCACAATCCTTGAAAGTTAATTGAAACAGTGGCTTTACTGTGTAGTGTACTATAGGTAGTGTGCATTATATCATAATATGGGCGTCAAATTAATATTTAATACACAACTATTATGTACAAGACATAACTCAAGAAACGGATAGCTATATGAAATATTATCAAAACACGTGAAATTTATATTGACTATTATTTAGGTATAAATGTATAATACACTTTGTACAAATATACTTATTATTTATTTAAATATAAAATATTTTACTATTTTTGACAAATATAAAATCCGAAAGTAATCATAATACTTTTATTTTTAAAAACTATACAAAAGAAAAAACAATTATTTCAATTAATTAAATTTAATAAGTTTTATTTTGAAATTCGTCGCCTCGGTTTTGTTTGTTGGGAGATCGTACGCATAAATTATTATTAAATCATCATTAAGAATGATAGAATTGTATTATAGAAATAAGTCAAATAATAGTCGTAATGACGTAATCCCATTATAGTGTAGAACCTCGTCAATCATAAATATTATTAGGATAAAACGATGTGTATTCTTTAGCAATAGTACATAATTTTAAAATTTGTAATTAATCAAGTTATTCTTAAGGCTCATTTCCGCACGGCACATACATACAAATAAACAGATTTAACCATGCCCGTATCTAGTCAATATCTACTGGATATTTTATTGGAATCGGGCATTGGCCCTGGAAAAAATATGTTACTCTATATCCTGAACACTTATGAAACTATTAAAATTGTTTCAATGATAAAGTTCGTTCAAAACTTCTAAAATGATACATCAAACAATGTTCGGAAGTGTCGCCATTTGTTTGTTCGGAAACGGGTAAGCTAAAACACTATGCGTTTTGCACAGGCTTGCGCAAACTCTACTCGCATACAAATCATTAAGTGCATTTTAATTGACCCAAATTTGTTATCAACGGCATTTGTTTAATTACTCACCAGATAAATATTTTTAACCGATATTCAGGAATGATTTTATAAGCTCATACTTACTAGAACTTTTAATAATTATTATTCTATTATCTAATGGTAAAACAGTAATTGAATTTTTATCTATTTAGTATTTTTAGAATGTTGTTAATTATTACAACAGCAGGTTTTCTGCAAACGTCCACAGTACACAACAATGTACAGATAACTTAACAGGCAAAAACGCAACAATATAAGTTTGAATTTTAAAATTAAATTATTATGATAATAAAATAAACTACAAACAATTGTTTCGGAATATTCCTTTCGATCGAATACAATTAATATTACTAATTATTATTTTTCAATAAATATTTATTAAGTATTAAATCATACAATATGTGAACAGTATAATGTTTTGGTCCAGCCGAATAGATTAGGCTAAAAAAAATGTGGGTGCAGCATACGAACGCATAATATGGTGGCGCCTTAGATTCGATTTATTAGGCCCCCCCCCCGCTTTAACTTTAATTACATTTACTACATTTTGTTCAATATCGTTTCACGATATTTTCACGTGTTGAGATTGTCATAAATCAATCACATTATATACGTTTTATTTAATCCTGTTTTCCACGTATTTATTTAATCACATCATACCTACGAGACAGTAGGTATAGGTACGTCACTAATTATATTCTCAATTATAAATAATAATAATAATGCTAAATGAACCAACTGCTTTTTAAAATTATTTCAGATTGAATTATTACATAATGTCATTATGAAAAGTCATCGTGATGAGTGATGACCAATCACCAATGTAAAACATCACGTGGTCAGCCGCTACTCGCTTGACAAGAGTACCTATGCAATATACCGAGCGTATGGACTATACAATGATATAAACAACTGTTGCACGGCTGAGTTACCGCGGTTGCCGGCACACGAAGTACCACGGGACACGGGTTCATAGTATTTCACTGCCTCACTATATGCAACTCGCAGCCGGAGTGTTGGACACGTTTAGAAAAAAATGTAAACCCTTCGCTGAAACATTTATTGGAAAAATCTGGTGAGTTTCTAGGCTGGCGTGGTCTCACAGTAGTGAGCATGACCATTACATTTTTATGGGTGTTGTACCTACTCTCAGGGGCGTGCTCAGGAGTGGGGGAGGGGTCAATTCCCTCATGTTCACTTGAAAACTATATATATATTTACTACTTATATATATTTTTAATTTTAATTGTCAATGTAATATGTTTATTGATTATAAAATATAAAAAAAGTTGACCCCGTCATTCAAAATTCCCGCGAGCACGCCTCTATACCAACTCTCGTCATCGTTGACGTTTTTTAAAGATGGTCTTAACCTTCTGATACTCGATCACATCGATTTT